GCTACGTGTTAGATGGTCGCAAACCTGCACAGACCTCAAGCCTAAGTGTGCAGACAAAAAGCAGCTGTGATTGGCCGGAATGCCTTTCCAGCTATCTGTGGGGTCGTCCTTATTGATTCGGTGTTGGGGCACGCCATTTTAAAAACAGAGGAACAACTTATATGAACTACGAGGAAAGGTTAATCGGTCCTTTTGCCAACTCCATTAACAGAACCATTAGCCATCATCTCTTCTACATGATAACAGTTAATAAAATCAGCTCAGCTCATGTTCACTCCTCTGCTGAAGCTTTAAATGCCACAAAATGAGTTTAAAGGGGAACACTGTTTTTTTTTCCATTGGTCCCTTGATTTTCCGTTATTCCATCATGTTCTACTCACCCATCTGAGTTTAGTGTCATTTGGAGCCGTTCTGAAGATATTCCGTTAGGTTATATCCAGTAACGTCTTCCTATGGGCAACGACTTGAAGGCACAAACTAAACTGTTCATCATTTATTCTTTATGGTACGCCAGCATTCAGAACATGGAGGCCAATCACTGTCCCCCAGATATCCGCTGTTAGATTTTTATATTTGTATTTTTGTAAAAACGAAGCGGCGCGTGTATGACGTCAATCAACAGGTGAGTCCCCCAGTGCAGCCATGTTGGTTATACTTTAACAAGCCCCTTCTGACTGTCATCAATCCTACATGTCCCGCCCCAAAAACACTGCTGGCATGTCATTGGTCCGACTCACAGGTTGGTACGAGACGGACGTTATTAGCGGGAGTCTTTCAAGATTGATTCGTTATGAGACTGAAAACTTGGATCTTGCGAGCATCCAGATTAACAACTTTCAGATATTTATTGAAAAAGGAACATGAAACATTGGCTGATTTTTCTTAGTTTCATCCCACAGAGGTCTGCAAAGTAAAGCAGACATGGAAACATCTGGAAGAACCAGATCTGGTGGTTCTTCACCTTTTCAGATGTTGTTTGGGAGGAGTCGTGTGGTACAGCCTTCTTTCTTTTCGGTGTTAGGCTGCGTTTGAACAGACCTTCTGCTGATGTTTTCATTTCTAGCTCAGCCTCCACCATCTGTAAATCTGCTTCTAAGCTTTAAGACACTTCATCAGCCTGTTTCTGTTCACCCTGTAATCTTCCTCTTTTCTCGGTTGTGTGCAGGGGAGTGGCTCTAAAGTAGCCCACCTCTGATCTCAGGTCAGATTCACTTCTGGCATAATTTAGTCATAGAGAGATGGATTATTTAATCTGCCAGTGGCGTTCAGAGCAGAGCAGTGACATTAGGATGTTAGCAGTGGGGGCTACTGACATGAAGACAGGCTTCCTGCACATGCTCCCTCTCCTCATTTAGAGCCATATATCTCAATATGGATGACAAGGTATCTCCTCCTGGCTGGTGGCGCGACACGCTGGCTCTGTGCTGATGTCCAGAGACAGAGCCGCAAAGGGGGGAGGGGCGCATTAAGCTGTAATGGCTTTTGTTTATTAGAAAGGTGGACGAGGCTGTAGCTGTGTGTCCTGTAGGCGCCCAGTGCGACGGAGCTGCTGCCTCAGAGAGACCTGTGGCATAAATCAAATGGAAATGTGCTCAGATGGCGACATCAGGCTGAGTGCCGATGTGTTTTATGTCAACCCTCTGACTCAAATCGCCTCTCCACCCCCCAAGCGAAATCAATAGCCCCTGTTTGGGCTACCACCAAGAACTCCACAACTGCAGTGATTAGAAAACACATTAGTGTTGATCAATTAGAGGCCAAATGCCTCCCTTAATAATTGATGGCGTTTCTTACATTTTACACCAGCAAATGCACCGAGGCAGCAGAGCCTGTTAGTGCGCCTGGCCAAGTGGCGAAGAGACAGTAGGTGATCCTCAGACCCAACAAGCTGCAGGCGCCATGCTGTATTGACAGGGCCGCCTGGCCTGAATGCTTGATTAGGCTCTCCAGGGCCCCTTTGGCGCTTACACACGCACAGACACCCAGTCACATGCATTGGACTCCATTAGACTAAGACAGTGTAGTACGTGAGATAGACTCCACTTAAGCAGCACTATCCATTTCCCTCAATTGAGCCACAGAGGTGTGTTTGAGGCAGACACCCTGGCTGGACCTTAAGCTGACACAGAGGAGCCTCTCTCACACACGCTGGAGTCTCCTGGGCTGCAGATAATCAGCACTACAAGTTATCAGCATGCGGGCGGCGCTGCACACTTCACTCAGACTGTACTGCTTTAAAAAACGTCTTTAGAACAGATTGATGCAGAGTCTGTTTGGGTTAATCTTTCAAAACTGAAGCATGTCCTCTGTTTGTTTCAGACGTTGAAAACAGGCCTCACCATGGTGGGCAAAGTGGTTACCCAGCTGGCCGGCACCATACCTGCAGGCACGCCCGACGAAGAGGGAACGCCCCACAGCACGGGTCGCCGCAGCCCCCATAGCCCCGGCGTGATCACCATCATCGACACAGATGACGTCGGTGAAGGACAGGTCAGTCTAACACCTTCCTTTGGGCCAGATGTAGAGCAGATCATCCATGGCCATGACGACTCAGTCTGCTTCCTCATGTCTACAGCGAGGAGATACACTAGTCGCAAACATCCAGAGAAATCTTCATGATCTATATTAATTTTATGTGTAAAATACTAAATAGACAAATAAAGATAAATAACATAGAATATGCCTTTCATCTGATCATCAGCTCTACTTCCTCAGCTTCATCATCTTTCTTAACATTGGCTGCTTTCTCCTGAGATATTAGCTTTTAGCCATGACCCCATCAGCAGCCAGGACCCAATCCACATCCATGACCACACCCACAGCCATGACTCCATCCACATCCATGACCACACCCACAGCCATGACCCCATCCACATCCACACCCACAGCTATGACTCCA